TTGGAAGGGGCCATAAAGCTCCTCTCATTCCAACCCCCTGCCATGGAACACCTTCCACTGTCCCAGGTTGCTCCAAGCCCCTCCAACCTGGCCTTGGGAACTTCCAGGAATGGAACATCCACAGCTTCTCTGGGCACCCTGTGCCAGGACCTCCCCACCCTCTGATTAAAGAATTTCTTCCTAACTTCTCACCAAAATCTTGCCTCTTTTAATGGCATATGTTCCATGTTGCAATATGTTCTCCCCTCCTGCCTCTTTTAATGGCATATGTTCCATGTTCCAATATGTTCCTCCTTCTCCTATCACTATCTGCCCACGTCAAAAAATATAAATCATATATAAAATATAAGCCATAACCCATCATGTATTAAAAAGCAAATAACTACCAGCTGGTCCCTAAAATTGGTTAAATGCTTCCTAAAGGCTGCGAGTCGCTTCTCCCAGTGTACTCACATGGAGAATGTTTGGGGAAAAAAGAAAATGCCTCATAGTGCTTCAATTTAAAAGCAAGCCTTTAATTTCTGCAGCAGTAAAATTCATCCCAAATGAATATTTAATTTCATTTGTACAAATTAATATAAAAATGATCATAAAAGAACAATCATCTAATAGGAAAAGAAAGTCAAGTTAGATAAGAGGAAAACAGTCTTAATAGAGCAATTAGTCAACAGAATAAACTGCACTGGGAAGCAGCAGAGTCATCATCCAAAGGGATAAAACAGTGAGGATAAATACATGAAAATAATCACCCTCAAGGTACACTGAGTAAATCGTTTCCACTTGCAGCACGTGGCACTATGAGATGTGGCAAAGCCATCATTCAGGAGGAGAAATTAAATCAAAATAAAACCCAGCAATGTAGTTTTCAGTTCTGGAGCACACCAACAGACACACGTAATTGTATGAAATTTACTTGAGGATTTACAAGTGAAAGCAATCAGACAAGGCTAAATAGAACGATTTGTCTGTGAAAATATTATTCAATAAAAATCCACCAAATCAAAAAAATACTGAGGGCTATAAAGTACAAAATTACCAGCAAACTGAAGAGCAAAGGTAGAGAAAAGCACTCAGGCTGAATTTTGACTATTAAAGGGATTTTGATGATCCTCTCAAGGGGGTGTTATCTCGTTCCTAAGTTTAAAAACTTTCCAATACCTCATAAAAGAGCCATTTTGTTCACTACAAACATTGCATATGTAATTCTTGCCTGAAAATACACTGCAATTGCCCTATAGTTTCTATTTTCTCAAGGCAGAAAATGAACTTGCAACAAATAAGTCGATTTATATTAAGCAACGCTACTGCAGTCAGTTTTTTTTTTTAATTGATTTTAAAACTACCGGAATCAGTTAGATGTCCAAACACACACAAAAACCAAAACCAGTCCCATAACAGCTGCTATTATAATCCCCGGTATTTTCTTCAGGCAATGATGGTTTTGTTGGCAATCCCATTGTTCTTTCTCTGTGAATAGAGGAGTTGATCCTCCAGAGACAGGGGCTTGACACTGTGTAATGAAAAATGAAAATAATTAAATAAAAACTCCCGATGTTTTTATTTTACGGAAAGGAGAGAAGCAGATAGGAACTGGATAGAACTAAACTTCTTTTCCAATAGATCCCATGGTTCCTGTTCCTCCTGCCCCATCTTCCAAGCCAGGGCTGCAGCTCTGCCCTCAGTCAGGCACCTTTTGCAGTGGTGAACAGGCTGGGGCAAGAGGGGATGGCAGAGTCCTCGAGGTTTGGACAGCTGCAGCTTTTGCTGAATCCCTCAGGCTATGCGCAGAAATCTGTGTCCTTTTAATGCCTCTGTTTCTCACCAAAAGATATCAGCCCAAGGTAAGGACTCAGTCATGACAGGTACCGTGAATGGGAAAAGGCAGCATCAAACTTAGTGTGCTCTACAAGCTGTCCTACACTAATGACAGGCTTTCAGCAGAATCCAGTGTGCTTAAAAACTAAGTAATAAAAAAAAAAAATTAATCTTTAAATATGCTTTTGAAGTTCTGTTACAGGGAAGAGGTCCACTGACAACTTAAACATTCGTCCTTGATACCTCACCTTGATCTAACAGAATAATCTTTTCTATTGCCACCAAGATTTGAAACCAGACATTAGATTATGCAAATACTGTCATCTAAAGATAATAGTCAAAATTCAGATCTCAAGTCCTGGGTGGCTTTCTATAACAGAGAAAAGTGACAATGATTAAGCATCACAACACAATTGTATCATGAACTTATTTATTTCTGTGCAGCACTTCAGCAAAGACAGTTTAGTTTTTAGAGATGTCGGAGTTTCAGTACAGAAGAAGTTCCATTTTCACCAGTTTTATTCAAAGCAAAAATTAAAAAAAAAAAATAAAATCCCTTTAGCATTAAACAGAATGAAATTTTACACATCAATAGGACCTTGAAACACATTACACCAATCAAGGGCTTACTATTTCTTAAGACAGTGAATTGCATTAAAATAGCATTAACCCCCTCCCCCCATGCAGGAATGCCAAGCAGTTGTAGCAGAGATCACTCATCAAACTCAGCACTGCTCTTTCCCCACTGCACAGAACTCTCCTGGGTGCTGCTCATGAACTGCTCTACTCATGAATGGCAGAATGATCACTCAAACATTAACAGGATACAGAGACACTCAGCTGAAGCCAGAAAGCAAGAACTGGCCATTATTTAAAGTCAGATGTGAATTCAGAATGAAAAATTACTAAAAACCGAAAAAAAAAAAAAAACCACCAAGCAAGAACTTGTAAGTAATTACACTGTCGTTAGACACATTATAATTTGCAATTATTCCCTGGCAAACATGCTAAAAACAGAGCCTGCTCTTGGCATACCAGAAAAAGAAGCATGAAAAATAAGGTTAAAAAATCAGATGCAAAACCCATTACTATAGATTTTTTTTCACTTTCTGACAATCTCCTCAGGTTGTGGCAGTAAACTTATCCACAATGTTTCACTGCTTGGTTAAATATCCTGTTCAGTAGCTCAAATGAGGAGAAAGCTGCAAATACTTCTCGTCAGTAGTCCGCTTTGTAATTAGAATTTAATTATTTTTAGATGGCTCATATTAAATTTACACTTTTCTCAAAATCTGAGTCAATTAAAAGAAACATCTCAGCACAATGTGAATTATAATATTAACTGTGCTATAAACCCACTGGAATTTAGGCATCAGAAGCCTGAACTGCAGAAGCATGCTTTACAACTCCCCATCTAGAAAGGAAGGCCACTGGTAATTAAAGAAGAAAACTAAATAAGAGGAAATTAATTTCACAGTGATCTGTCTACAGAAAGTACAAAAATATGAAGATAAAGGCTTGACAGTCTGTCTCCTATGTATTGTACCCTAATCAGATGCTGGATGGATGCTTGATCTCATCACAGCAGGATGCAGACTGTGGATGTACATGGAAACAGGCAGGCTCCAAGCTGGGTGTAAGGAAAATCCTCACTGCTGTGAGGATAACCCTGGGAACAGGCTGCCCCAAAGGACAACAGAACCTCATCCTTGGAGGTTTCCAAGATCTGACTGAGCAAACCCTGAGGAACCTCAGGGTGTGCATTCAATGCTGAACCTGTTCTGTGGTAAGGTCCAACCAGATGAGCTCCTGTGGTCCTTTTCCACTTGGGTTTCTCTGTGTAGGAGCATCTGACTCAAAGCAAGGCTTTCTCCAGCAGCATGCCAAAAAAAAAAAAAGGGTTGTCACTAATAAATACCACTGAGATCTGCAAAGTACCAATAAACACACAGCAGCATGAATAAATCCATTATCAACCAAGCCAAAGAGAAGTTCAACCAAATCACTATTTCCAAAAATGAAACAAAACTTGCTGGGCTCACACAAAAATCGTAACAGACAGATGAGGTGCCTTTGTTAGGGAACAACTGTGAACAAAGACATCCCACTGTTTCTTCCACAGCATCTGTAACACTACAAGCAATGACATGAAAGGGATTAATAAGTCAAGACAATCTGTTAAAGCAAAATTACACATTGTTCTGTTTCTCATCTTTGATCAGCCAGAAAGAGCTGTACTATCACCCCACTCAGCTTCTCTAACCCCTTTCAAAACATGCAATAGCACAGCAACTGGAGTTTATTTGATGCACTGTGCACTGATTTGTTTTCCCTGCCTTCAAGACCTACCTACAAGTGCACCATAATTGTGTCTGAAAGGATGCAGTGACATCTGCTCTCTGACACACAGGTCACACACACAGAAGGCAAGCAGGCTATACAGATAATAATTACACTTCACAGACAAAACACCACTGAACACCAAACTTACAAGAGGAATCCCAGTAAGAGCTGCTTAGTAAGTATGTTATTGCTTTATAAGAACTGCTAGAATAATTATGCTCTGTTTATTGTGACATTTTAGCTTAATTGAAACCATTTCACCAACAGAGAATTCATTCAATAATAAGCATCTCCCACAATGACTCTGTCCCTGTTGCTATGCTCTGATTTGCAAACTTAGCAGAAGATGAGCAATCAGTAAAACAGAATATTGTGTTAGTAATTTGTATCAGATAAAAGATACGCTCCACTGAAGGAACACTGAAAAAATTAATAGACAACCATTGGATTAGTCCTATTTTCTACCCATTTTTACCCTCTTTTTCAGTTTAAGTATCAAATTTAGGAGCAATCATTCAAGACCTTAACAACTTGTTTTTGAACAGAATCTCCTAATTCTTATCCATCATAACAAAGATGTACAACTTCATTTATTGAGGACTAACTCCACCAGACGGGACATAACTCCCCAAAATCCCTGCAGCATCCACTTTAATTGAATACTTCTGTTTGAAATGTCCCAGAAGCCCTCTGAATGTCATCCTTCCACCAGAGCATGGCTTTGGGAAGTGCAGAGCTCCAACTCAGCCTGTGAATTCTGAGAACAGGTAACAACTGACTCAGAGAACACATGAGCCTTATTCCTAATGGCACTACAGCTAATTAATCTCCACTATTAGTAAGACAGAAAAAATAAATTCCACTGAATATGTTTCACCAGAACAACTGGCTGTTTTATGAGAAGGTTTTATGAGATTTATGTAATTTTAATGTAATTTTATGAGAATTATGCATGTTTTATGAGATTTGGAAGTATATTTATTTCTCATATGCCAAAGCTGTTGAAGATCACACAAATTACAACATAGTTCCTCACCAATATTTTTTTTCTTGGCAAGATACAAAGGCATTGGGGTTCTTGGCATATTATGCCAAGAAAAATAATTCTAAAGATTTAGATAAGGAACCTACAGCCACATATTTTCTTGCAGACTAAAGAGGCTAAAATCTTTGGCGTCGAGGACACCAAATCTGGGATATTTCAGTATTTTATAACACAAAGGAAGGTTAGTATGGCTGTAGTTGGCTGAACTGCCCATTCCCTTGCTTTCTGAAAGAGCCCTCCTGTCTCCTTGCCCTGCATCTGCTGCCACATCTCAGCCAAAACAGATTATTTTCCTTGCCTGTTCTTAACTGTGTCAATTATTTTCATATTTATTATTAACAGCAATTCATTAAATCCCTTTGTACTATAATCTGAATGAAAGATTCTATACAAAAGACTATTGTTCTATTTGCTGAGTGTCATACAGGGCATAAAAAATTCCTCTGATTCCTGGGATTAATTTTAAATATATGCAGCACTTTTTTAAACTTTCATGACCTACACAAACGAGCAATTCAGCAGCTTAGTTATTCATCTTATTTCTGATCTGAATAAATGTGAAATTTAGTGACTTACAGCCATGCAGCAGTTTGTTCCCATTTTACATTTCAGGTTTTTTCTTTATTATCCATATGCTGTAACACTCTAGACACACTCCAGCAAGAAAGACATTCTGCAGCAGAATGTAATGAACACTGCTGTTTATGAAAATACAGAGATTTACTAACCCCTTGGCACTGGAAGGCAGGATTTCCCAATATTAAGAACTAATGTAAATGGTATTAGCTGAGCTACTCAATCATGTGCCCATACCCCAGAGACAGCCCAGGGAAAAATATTCTTTCCTTTCAACTCTCAATTAAAAACAGAAAAATAAAAAATACCCCCACATATTCCAAAACATTTCTGTCATATTCATCCAACACATTTTGAGGGTCTGTAAGAACAGATTTCTGGCCTTGACAGCAGTGGAAAATAGGACATGAGACCTAGTAATAAGTAATGTATATAAGCTTGTGCATTGAAAAACAGAAAGAATAAATAGATCTTATCAACAGATTACAACTCTAAATTGTTTACTGCATATGAGATTAAAACCACCTCAGTGCTGGATTATAAATAGCTATAATCAAACTCTGGCCTTTTTGGAATTCCAAACATCTATGGAAACCAATTCTTTTTAAAACATAATAGCCTAGGTAAGGTGTTTGCAAATGTAACCTTAAGAGCAAAAGAAATGTTTCTTCAGTCACTCCAGCTTGACTCTGGGGTCTGTAATCCCCAACAGGAACTGTTATTTCTCAGTGGGAAATAAAACCAGACCCAGAATCAACACAAGACAGGTTACACAGCCCTTCCTGTAACACAAATCACCGGTTTACCAGTGGGGCTGTGGGGAAATCCTGGGCACTGCTGGACACCCCTGTCAGCAGCCCCTTCTCCTGACTTCAGTCCTTTCCCCAGTCCACAGGAAATCTCAGATCCCTTCAAGCACAATGAAACAAGAACTTGAAGAGGTCCACTCTGATATTTGCAGGCAAGAAGAAGGAAGAGAGATTTGTGAATGGGGTTATTTCTCACTTGGCTCCAGGGTGATTCAGAAGTCTCTCCAATTGGATGCAGCTCCTTACACCACTGCTTTCACACCAGCAAGCTTCACACAGAGTTTTTTCTGCTTTTCCCACACACGGCCTTTCCCCTGCTGCCCTTCACAGAGGCAGTCACTCTGAGATATTTTTCAAACATGCAAAGCCTGCTTGAAGCATTTCAGCCCATGCCCATGTTCTGCTAAGAGCCCAGCTGGGATGCACTCAGCTCTGGAGAGTCCACCTCATCTGCATCTTCACAAGGAACCTCAACAGAATGGTTTGGGTTGGAAGGGGCCATAAACACCATCTCAGTCCAATTTCCTGCCGTGGGCAAGGACACTTTTCACTGGACCAGGTAACACCGAGCCCTGTCCAACCTGGCCTTGGGCACTTCCAGGGAAATGGGGCAGCCACAGCTGCTCTGGGCACCCTGTGCCAGGGCCTCACCTCCTCACGGGGAAGAACCCATGAACAGGAGAGACTGCCACTCATGGATTCCTGAGGGAAGCACAGCAGGAAAATTTCTGCCAAAGGTTCACTGCTCTGAGACAAGGCCTGAGTGGGACAGCTGGGGGAGGCAGCTGCTCAACATCTGCTTATTCGAGCTTCAAGACACACACAATCCTTATTTTAGTTCTGTAAGAATTCATTACCCAGCAAACACCAAAGATAGAGCCCAACCCCTCTTCCAAATTGTAGCAACTGCAGTTTCTAATTTTCTTACTCTTTCATGAAGCTTAAATTATGTTTTTTAATTAAAATAACAGCAAAATTAAAAAATTGTTTCAGAGAAAAAAGTTGTGAAATAATATAGCAATCTGCACACCTGCAGAACCTTTCTGAAGTATCCAAATTTACTTCACAAACACATTATCACAGAAATGCATGCATCCCCCTCCAGACATCATTTTAAGGAAGAACTATAATTTTTCTGCTTAGCTTCATCCTATTTCCAACTTACATATTTTATAACCCACCACAGCCCAGAAGCCCACAGACATTTTCAGCTACTGCAGCAATCAATATGTGATGGTAAAGGGATGGAAACCCAGAGATGCACATGGAGGTGCTACCAGGTCTGGCTGGGGTGAAACAGAGAAGCTGCTTCCCCTGTCCCTCAGCCTCCTGCAGATGTGTCCTCCTGGGGAAGTTCTCCAGGAGGGACCTCTGGTGAGTCCCTTGGGGGACCTCTTGGAGCAGCCCCTGTCCCCTTGCTCTGGGGCAGGAGTGGGGCTGCCCACAGCACTCGGAACAGAAAAGGTGAAACACAGACATCATGTACTGCTACAGAAATACCTTCCCAACCCTATGGGCTACTCATTATTCCTAATAAACATTATAGAAGAGCTATACAATGGGCAGGAGCCCCATGGAGCCCAACTGCTGCTAATTAGCATTTCTGCAAAGATGGAGAACACCTATAATAACGATTGCCTGGCAACAGCATAATTAATTCATATGAAAAGTTCTATTTTTAAACGTGTGCATTATCAATTCTATCAAAACTGGACAGAGGTTATTGTAGAACTCTACAAACTGCTTTTACTGGGCATTTTCACTTTCCTTACAGTCCATATTTAGTTATCCCCTTTCAATTATTAATAATTAAATTTCCATTTACTCTAGACACTCCATATTCTCAAGGGAAAGCGTTTTGGAAAAGCACAACTCTCTGTGTTGTGTGAAAATAGCTGTGCAGGAATAAACCAAATGAGAAGCTATGCCAAAATGTGGAATATAAGTGTTCTCCAGCAGTAAATCAATTTCACTGTCCCACACACACTGGGAGCACTGGCTGCTGACAGGAGGGTGGCTGAGCAAAAACTCAAAGAGCTCTCAAAGAGCTGCAGTTTCCAGTGCAGAGCAGGGTGAAAGGTTTTGAGATGCCA